CCGCCCCGAACCCGCCCCGTTGCCATCCCTAGCTGGAGTGTTTGTTTAATTCAAAACCTAAGGAATAATTGCAGTTCAAGTCCCCAACTTTGTAATAGATACTAAAATCGGTTCCTAGCCTTTTGAAAATGCCCAAAAATGCTACAGTGGCGTCCCGACGTGACACTCTCTGCCAAAACACTGTTGGTGCCGATTTTGGAGCAAATTTTCAAGATATTGCGTGTCCGGTCCTCCAATCAAAAAGTGATAATTTTGGTCCCCAAACTTTGAAATTTTTGCATTTTTGGTTCTTTTTGCTCATTTCTCGCGTAAATTCCTTCTAATCATCATTCAAACTCGAGTTTTCACCTACAAAATAAAAATAACTAAATTAGGTAATAAATTGATAATAAAAACTCACAAATATCTAAATTAATGGTCTGAATAAGTGCAAAAACTCGCACTTATCAATAGGACCCAATATAGACATGAAGATCATCTGCACAATTTCTCAAATTTTCATAGGTCCATATGTGAAGCCACAAGCAAAGACCAAAATAAACGAACTGAGGAAATAACTTAATATAAAAAATAGGGAAAAATCAGCAACGAATAGTTTGATGTTACATTTGATACGGTTGCCCCAATGTAGGTAATGAGCCATATATCAGCAAATTGGTCCTTTTTGAACTGGAAGCGTGCCTTCAAGAAATACTGCAGCGGAAAAAGTACAAATTCTGTAAAAATAATATTTCATGCATATTAAGACTTGTCATGTGCTAAACATACATGATATTAATAACCAAATTCAACGCTATCAGAATCACCATTTCAACTGAAATTCTCATAGAGTTGTTGACAATGGATTTAAGGAAAAAGAAAGAAAAATGTTATATCCATCATCCCAGTTCTTTTCCTTCTTTTCTACCTTTTCCTTGCATAGTTACAACAACAAATGTAATATAGAATTTTATTTTACATTAAGCCAGTCTTCTCATTTTTGGGAAACACCACCCAGCTCCTTCATATTTTATGACAAATTATGCTTTAAAATTAATTTGCTTTGTCTATATAGCACTTCTGTTTTTTAGTATTTGTTTTGTTCTGCATCGAAAGCAACCAATGATATATGCTGCATTCAGTAAGTATTTCAAGATGCACTTGCTATCTATATACTAATAAGGGACAATTATGAAAAATTCTCTTTCTTCAATAATACAAAATTTTATCCTAGAGAAGAAAATAAAAAATGAAGGGGCACTCACTCAACAAATTATCGATTTTATCGGTCACATATTATTTATTGATCACTACAATCAATATCTATAATGGTAATAACTATACATCCCCAATGATGCATTTGAGCAATAACCACAATAAAGAGAGAGAGTACCATTAAGAAGGCTTGGACTCCAGCCTCTGCAAGGCTATTGAAGAAAGCAACAAATGCAGCTATCGAAAACATAGTGCTGCAATAAGAGGACTGCAAGTTGAGATAACTGTTGGGAAATTATTTAAT